AACAGGGGATATTCATTCATTCCTTCTTTAAAAGAGTAGGGCCTTATATATCTGGCCTACAGGTGTAATCATAGAGGGAATATCCTCTGATTGGCAGAATAACTAACTGATAACAAACTCTGGGAAATATCATGGAGGGAATATCTTCTGTCGACAAAATCACCCTCTCTGTGTGTAACTAATTCTGAGGCTCTGTCACCTGTCCTTTCTGCTTCCTTGAGTACTGCTGATGGGTAGTGGCCTGCTCCACTCCCTGTGTTGGGTTAGGGAAGGTATTTGGGTCCCAACACACTCTATTACCTGCTAATCTGTTATCTGTCAACCCCCACAGTAGACGTTTCAATTCCCTCTTAGACCCCCTTCTTTCACTTCCTTCACTGCATTTTCATTTTCTGCTTCTTTCTCTCTTCTTTTGAGACCGAGAAGTTTAGCCATCTCCTCTATACCACCTTCCAAACAACCTTCCCTTTTGTTACTATTCTGAACTCGTTTGTTTGCCTTCCTTGCCACAGAATCTAGGCGAAGACTATCACTCTGTTGTGGTTGGGATTGCTCTCCATCCGAACCTGGAAAACAAGAGGAGAAGTCGTTGCTTTGAGAGAAAGATAAAGGAGCCGAAACAGAACTAACAAACAAAGAGGGGGGAGAAGAAACTCTTGTATGTGGTTGAAGGTTGTTGTTAGGAGCTTTTGGAATGTTTGAAGGCGAATTCCATCCTTGTCATCTAGCAAGGCCTTCTGAGTCTGCGTCCCCGTAGTATGGATCAACTAGAGTCCTTTCTTCAAACAATTCTACACTTCCCCAAAAATAAAGATTTTGCCCTTGCAAAAGCAACCTCTCGCGGATCCGGTTCAGCCTCTATTGCATAGGAGCTTGTCTTCCCCAGAGTCTTCGCCTTCATAGAGAGAAGAGTAATTTGGCCTACGAATAAGTGGGAGATCTGTTTACATCCATTTTCCAACCTCCTAAGCTGGGGGTGTGTTTGGTATCTCTTGGCCTTCAAAGGAAGGGGTTTCGAGTGGGCTTGGAAATCCGACCTTCTCTAAAGAGAGTTGGGCCTTTAATTTAACTCAGCCCAACTCTTTACAGAAATTTGGGTTCGGTTTCGGGTCGGGTTTGAGCTCAAAAACCTTAGGATCAGTTGTGGCCCTAGAAGAGGTTGGGCCTGACTGTGGTCGAGGTTTTTCTTTTGAAGGCAAATTTAAATTTTTGAAAACTTTCCTGGGAGCAGCTTGTGAAGAATTGACTTTCAACTTCTTTCTTTTGTGAAAATCTAAATTTGCATTGTTTGGGAAATTTCGTGTCTAACCAAAAGAGTTAGAGCCACCCAACAACTTTGCTTCTGGGACATGTAAACTCCCAACTGTGACTTTTGGCTGATACTCTGTTGAACTAATGCCATGTGGAAAGGATCCATTGTTTTGAGTTGACTCGCTGAGTCGAGCAGTGGACTCGTTCGTCTTCTCCACCTCCACTGAAAGGTAAAACCAGATGTTTCTGTCTAGTAGAGGGATTGATCAAGGGACTGCATGCACGCCTCAATTCTGCACCTTGATCCTGGCAAAACTGAGCTGGGTAAAATTTAAAGTGTCAAGATCAATATCTTCTAGGCCTCCATACAATCCACCTATCAGAGCAAAAATCTCTTCCTTCCACATATGGAAGGGTAACCCTCTTATCCTAAGTTGGTCGTTGAAAGACAAGAATCTTGAGACTGCATTCACCATTGGCCACCACCGCTCAATCTTTACTCTATCTCTATAAAGATTAATCGTCTCTCCAGATTGACCCAAGCAAGGACCGACTTCTCTATCTGGGCAAAACCCACTGCCATGTTTTCTTCGAATGGAATAAGCTTCATAAGCTCTTGCGTATGAAAATTTGTTGACAAACCTACTTCCACCTCTCTCCAACTCAGCGAGGGAGATTTGGTGCATACAGAAGCTAATGCCAATTGTTGAAAGGTTTTTCCTGATGGACCACAGATATGAAGGCTGATCCCTCTTCCTTGGTTACTTTGCTTTTTCTTTCTAATTGAGGGAAGGAGTTTGGTGAACTGCCTTCAAAAGTGGGTGGAGCTTTTGAGGGAAAGATCAAGCTGAGAAGCTACTCAAACAAGGCCCAATCCTCAATTGATGACTCTTCAAGAATGCAAATACTTAGCCATGAAGTTGACTTTTCCTAACTGCTCAACCGCATGAACCTGCCCACCATTTGTATTCTTTCAACAGTAAGAGAAGAACTATGCCCTTTTCCAATCGCTTACGATCCAACAGAGGCTTTGATCGGGACTTTAGCGCCTGCTAGAAAGTCTCTTACCATCTTTATTTCATCCTTCAGCAAAGAGATTGTTGACCAAGCCCCCCTGCCCCGTTCTGCCACCTCAATCGAATCCTCTAGAAAGCTCTGTCGCCTTTCTAGTTCAAACTTTTTGGAGCCTATTACTGCTGCTGTTTTGTCCATCTTCTTCTACCGTTGCCTGCAAAATGTTGTTACCATCAAGGAGTTGCATGGTTTGGTTTCAAGGGAAGCGGGGTCTCCTCCATTGCTTCCATCAATGTAATCAAATCGGGATTTCCATTACTGAATGATGACCAACGGTTCTAATGATGATAGCAATCCTCACTACTAGACTTACAAAGAACACACCAATTAGGTCTTGAATCATTTCTTACTACTTCCACCCAAATCCTTTTTGATCTGCCCTTAGCTCTTCTAGTGCCTTCAATTTGCAACAGATCACTTATAATAGGTGTCATAGATGGTCTTCTATGCACATGACCAGACCACTTCAATCTACTTTCTCTCATTTTATCACCTATTGGAGCTACCCTAGGTTCCTTTGTATGACTTCATTTCTGACTCTATCCTTTCTGGTTTTATCACTCATCCATCTAAACATATGCATTTCTATCACATTCATTTTTTGGACAAGTTGCTTCTTAACTGCCCAACACTCCACTCCTTGCAACATAGTTGGCCTTATAACTGTTTCATAGAATTTTTCGTTAAGCCATTTCTCAAAATAAAATTCCTTGTAGCCGAAGTAGTATTCACCTATCACATGAGACTCCAGATGCACCCTCTGTTTTGCCCTTCCTGCTCCAATTTTATGAGCAACATCCTCCTCAATCTCCCCTTTTGTTTTGAATTGTTGAACCAATGTAATGGAAGAGGTCATCTTGAATTATCTCCTGATTTTCGACCCTAAACATATCATGGTTTGCACGCCTATTATTATTGAATTTACATTGCATATATTCTGTTTAGGTCCTACTTATTTTTAAAATACATCCTCCTCAATCTCCCCTTTTGTTTTGAATTGTTGAACCAATGTAATGGAAGAGGTCATCTTGAATTATCTCCTGATCTTCGACCCTAAACATATCATGGTTTGCATGCCTATTATTATTGAATTTACATTGCATATATTCTGTTTAGGTCCTACTTATTTTTAAAATCTCTTGTTTCTAATGTACTTGTCCACAAACCTAATTTTACATTTAATCCTTTATTAGCTTCATCAATTAATACTATGTCATCAGCAAACATCAAGCACCATGGAACCTCTTCTTGAATATGTTTAGTCGATTCATCTATGACTAGTGCAATAAACAAGGACCAAGTGCTGACCCTTGGTGAAGACCCATTGTAATTGCAAAATCTGATGTCTCTCACAGGTGTTTAGCGCTGCTTTTTGCACCCTCATACATATCCTCAATCAGCTCCACATACCTACTCAGGACTCCTTTCTTTTTTTAAAACCAACCATATTACCTCTAAATCAATGAAAACAATATGAAGATCTCTCTTTTTCTCTCTGAACTTTTCTATCAATTGTCTTAATAGAAAAATAGTTTCCGTGGCTGATCTCCCTAGCATAAACCCAAATTTGTTTCCACTAGGATGCTGTTAACTCGTTGCATTAAAGTCAGGGTTAGGCCTGACTGAAGTTGCAATAGCAGCATATGGTACTTTACCATATATTTACAAAAGTTGCAATAGCGGCACATGGTACTTTACCATATACTTACAATACAGACATGTTTCTAGTTCATACTCTTACATGACAAAAGAAGTACAAATTTCTTGCACTGTGGAAACCCAAGAAGTTATGTTGCAAAATTAGGACCCGCAGACTTTTTTAGTGAAAAATATATTAGAATAAGCAGATTTTGAGGAAGACAAAGGTCTTACACTTGAGTTATTTGCCGGCTCTCATGATTTCCTCTTAAAATTGTAATTCTGTCTCTATAACGGACTTTTAATGCCACTAGAAGAGTGACAGTCTCCACTGAGTAGTACCCACGATCTACATCAACAGAAACAAATAAACAAATAAGAAAATAAGAAAATTGAGAGAGCATGATAAAAAACTATTAATTCTAAAAATTGAATGTCACAGAAAAGTTGCATACAATCTTGCAGTTCAGTTAAATTGGATAAAATAGGGTATCTCAAACAGAGAAGATGGCAATCATTATGATCTTGGCATAAGCATCTATATTTATTGGAAAGCCATACTTCATGCTATTACTAGGAACTGTAGAAGAACCTGAAAATTCAGTTCCCTAAATGAAATCACAAAGTTCTGAAGTGGTTAGAGATCAAATCTTTTGTCCCTTGGGTCATCTTTGTTGGCTTCAGCAAGTGCAGAGTTGAGAATAAATTTGGTGATACTGTTATAACAGTCCATTCTGTCAAAATACCCTACTCAGTCATGATCAAACATTGTGAATGCCAATTTGCAAGGTCAAGCCACAACTGTAACGCAGCTATTAGCATCCATGGCCCAGATAGCATGGGAAGAGTCTCTCTTTCAGAACTTAGATAGAGATTCCATTTCGGTCTATGGTGCCCCATTGGGGAGGTTGATATGGCATAACTTAAGTCTATCCTGTGTTGACAGAGCTAAAATCTATCTCATGCTTTGAGATTTTGTACCTCTTGTGCAACATTTTACTAAATGATATTATACAATACACCATTTATTTTCTGAAATAAGAAAAAAGGAAGAAGAAATGCCACAACTAGTTAAATACTAATAAAATGTCTCAAAAATTAACATAGGGCAATAATAAGACTCCTAAAAAGGAAACGGAGAACATTTTACCTAGAATTTGGCTTTGGTACTTGCATATTAATATTGAGTAAAAAACATATTATTCTGATTGTTTTATTAAGAAATTACCCATCTAGAGGACAATTGGCACATTTATTGCATTCTGAATCTAAGACAAAATATGTGACAGATTCAAAAAGGACCGTTTTAGGAAAACTATGCATCTAACTAAGCATGTTTCCACTTCCCCAAAAGATCAATGTATAGTGAAGGCAAAGTTTGATGAATCAACCATTCAAAAGAGGATTATGAAATCCATTGAAACTCAATACGTGATTCAAGCAGCCAATAGTTTCAAAAGGTACTCTGGTAACCTCTCCTTCCTCATTTATGCATGTAAAGGGTTTACCGAGATAGATATTGTCCTCTGGTCCTTGTGCCCCTATGTGTTGGGGCATTTGGAGGCAGAGGAATAAGAGAATTTTTGAAGGAAAAGAAGTGATTGGCAGCTGCTAAAACGAGAAAAGAAGAATATTTTAAAACCAAAGGTTTTGTCAGTGCATAAGAACCAAACAGCTAATTTATCCATCATCTTGAGCAAATTCACTAGCACTATGTAATCAAAAGGTTAGATGGATTGGGGTCATAACTGGTAAGAATGTAGGAACCATGTCTTCTTCTGACAACAGCTCTATAAGATAGACAACAAAGTTAAAAAAAAGTTATCATTCTATAAATATAATTGACACAAATATTACTATTTACTACCAGAAAGATTCCCCTAATTGGATCCATCAATAGTACAAATCATACAGAATACCTGGACAGAAAAGGGACCCATCTTCTTCCTTTTTTTTTTTGGTAAAACCATCATCTTTGTTTTCATACAGAGAAATAGGACACAATTAATACACAACCAAAAATCATATTGGACACATCCAATCCCCGTAGAGACGGTGAAAAGATCTATTTTAGATCCCTCATTCACCCACAAAATCCTTCTTTTGGTAAAAAGAGAGAAAGAAGCTTTTATTTATAAACTCAAGGTGAGTACAAAGCTTCACAAAATCCATTTAATTCACAGTAAATCGACGAAAGCAATGCTGATCAATGAAAATAGAAATTGCAAATAAACTTCGCTCCTTCCATCCAAAGCTGATAATATTATACAAAACGGAAAATACAAAAAGGTAAAAGTTTTCCGATTCAATAGCATCATCAGGATCCCTCATCAAGCACGTCGACATACACAAGAACCGAAACTCAAACAGGGTTTAAATTAAGTAAAATGAAAAGTGCGAGATAACGAGGGAAGGAGTAATAACCGACCTACGTAATCGCCCATGAAAAGATAATTGGTATCTGGTGCATTTCCTCCGATCCGGAACAGCTCAATGAGATCATAGAACTGCCCATGAATATCTCCACAGACGGTAACCGGGCACTTAACCGGCTGTACGTTCCATTCCTCGACGAGGATAGTCCGTGCCTGCTCGCACAAAGCCTTCACCTCCGCCTCCGATAGAGGTTTACATTCCATCAGATGCTCGATCTGCCGGTCTAGATCCGCGTGAGACGGCATGGCTTGTTCCGTCGATCTGCAATGCAAATCGATCAGGCAACAACGGTTGGAAAGAAATCAGCCCCAAATCCACTAGAAATTCGCGTCAAATTGAGTTTAACGTACCGATAGAAGGCTGAATTAATCGAATAGAGGCATCATCGACGGCGATCAGCGATATAATAAGGTTGGGATTAGGGTTCCGGATCGAGAAAACAGAGGAGAATATCCGAGGAAATATAGATTAGCTCAGGTCCTCATTTGCTCATTCCTTGCAGCCAACTATTATTTTGTTTTTTCAATTTTTTGTTTTTGGCCTTTTGGACGGTCCGTCTTCATGTACCAGGGAAACCCTCTCCTTCCCTCCCTCCCTCCCTCCCTCGCTCCCGCTCTCTCTCTCTCTCTCCCCTACTTTTAGATACCCGGCGACCAAGAAATAAAAAACAAAATATAATTAATGATGAATATTTAAATGCAAATGTGATAACCAAGCTCTCAAATGAAACTCAAATCCAAATTGAAATGGCGTCTATTGTTCTCTCTCTCTCTCCTGTTGAATTCATACTCCCCTGTTCCCCGTTCAGCCGTTCTTTCTTGGAGCAAATTTTCTCTCTCCGGTGGCTTGCGCCGAGTCAAAGTCTTAAGGCGTTCGGACACGCGTCGGTTGCATCTGCATTCTGGACAAAAGCCTTTTTTGGCTCTACGCCACGTGTCTACTCCAGATTAAATCGGAATTGCGTTTCACTTTTCAAGTTCAACAGTCAAACTTCAGATATTTGAAAGAGGACTGCTATTTTGCGTACGATGATTCTTGATTCAGACATTTTTAGGCGGATGTTAGCATCACGGGCTTCTTAATCACAAAACGACAAGACGTACTACCGGAAAATCCTCTCTATTTACAATAAACCCGCTGTTTATATTTTGTCCTTTTGTTATTGGGCAAAAGTTGTATTAGTTTCTCTTAMGATGTATTTGGTTTAAAAGAAAACTATGAATGACCCTGTAAATAGAGAGGATTGGAAAGGGACCGAACTCCTCTCGAAGAGACCGAACTCCCTTCGAACTCCCCTCGGTTTTGAAGAGAGTGATCCTGCCTCTCAAACCGAATTTCCCTCGTCAATCAAGACTGATTCATCGGGTTAGTTCAGATAGGGTAAACCCGTAGACCCTGGAACCCGACCTAGGTGGAGGTCGTTTCCAAGAATTTAGAACCGGACCCTACCCCATAACAATCGGATAGAATCAGTTCAAAGCTAGTTCATAGTCGGTTCCATTCAGTTCTGGTAGAATCTACCCATTTGCTCACCCCTAATAGCTACATATATGTGAGTGGAGTTGATTTACCCCATTGAAAATATGCCAATTAGAGGTATTGTTTTGGGCCATTTTCCCACATTAACGAAAAGTTGAATGAAAAATTAAAAAGGGTGGGATGAATTAGTAACTTAAGTATTAAAGAGTGTATCGGCTCATCAAGAGACGAGATGTGGGCTTTAACTATTGGATAAAGAAAAGAAAAAAATAATAAAGGTTTTTTAGAGAAAAACACAAATTAGGAATCCTTGGGTTTTAGCTGTTGGATAAATAAACACAAAAAAAAATCCTTTGGATTTTAACCATTGAATTTTTAATGTAATTTTGTTATTTTTTAATATATTAAAATCAATAATTCACTTACCACACTAATTTAATTACAAGCATTGCAAGTATAGAATTGAGAAAGATAAAGAATGAATTCTCTAATTTTCTTATATGTAATTATGTAGTTCACTTATTAATTTTATACGATTTTGACTTTTCTTTTGAAATTATATTTTGATGGGTTTCTTTTGTACTTGTATCTAGATTTTTTTTTAATATATACAATTGTTGAAGACAAATGTAAATTGACATTAATGTATCGTTTTCTGTTGAAGTAGTGTTATAATGTATTGAAAAATTTTCTTATATTTGTATTTTGAATATTTTAAAGTTTTTTTGTTAATTTTGGTTAAATCATTTATTAAGAAAACATTTCTGCTATGGTGATAATTTATTGAATGATCCTATAAGAAGAAAAATCCCTGGCCACACCACTGATTTTGGGTTTGGTTCGGATGTTGTTAAATCCATTTTGGATCCAACTTGATTGCAACCCTACTAAGCATTATTTAAAGGGTGTATACATATGTTGTGATTGTGATCACTATTGAGGGTGCTTCAAGCCTAACCTAACCGAGCCGAATATTAGTCTATTCAAGTTCAAGTTTGGCTCAATATATATATATATTATATATAGGATTCAAGTTCGGACTTGAGCTTATAGTGAGCCAAGCTTACTTGATCTTAAACCCACTAATAAAAATTAGGCTTGCATTGAGCAAACCTTGAATTGGCTTAACTCTAATCAAACTTTTTTTAAATCAGTTCAAGTTGGTTTGTGTCCACCTCTAATACAATGCTTCCATGCCAGCCCAATTAAATGTGAACATGCCAGTGATAAAATCTATATTACCTATAAAAGAGTAAATGTCCTTTTTTTTCTGAAATTTTCATTGGACGTTTTTTATCCCTTTTGTCTAAACATACAATGGGCATAAAGAGGGCATATATGTCCATTACTCTCATTTTAGAAACTGCCCACTTATAACTGTAAATAAACTATTCATGAATTAGAAATAGTTTTGTCTTAAAGATACTACCACATGCAAATGCATGTACATGTTTACTACTAAGAATAAAAGAAAATATCATGTGATGTTTTGAATTTAAACAAAGGGCTAGAGTTTTTATTTTTCCTGGTGAAACAAAGGGCTAGAGTTTTGTTGTGAAATTGGGGGTCGGAAAATAAGTGCTACAACAATAGTAGCTATGATCTCTTCGGTATCCGCCGATGGTCCGGTAACTGAGATGGCTACTCCACATCCATATCCATCTAAACACAACGCTGATGGTCCGGTAGCTGAGATGATCACTCGACATCCGACCCCCAAGCTCTTTGTGGTAAAGCACAATTGGAAAGTGCAAACATGTTTATTGCGTAGGGTTGCAGGTTGATAGTAGAAACTGGGGGTGCAAATGGATCAGATCATTCGATCCTATTTGGTCAAATTTGGATCACCCCAATTTCAATTTTTAGATCAGATTCGGATAATTCCTTATCCGATTTGTTATATATGCTATATATTTATTTATATATATGTTATTTATTTATTTATTTATACATATATTACTTATATTATATTTTTGTAAATTTGTTATATTATTTACTTTTTTTATAAAAAATATATATACATGTGATGAAAATAATTAAAAAATACTTATATATTTTGTTTTTCTTTATTAAAATCTCCATCAGATCCGAATTCATATCCATGTCTATCAGATCTGATTGGATCAGATATTTAATTAACAATGTTGGATCGGATTCAGATATACCCTTATTCAAATCCAATCTGATCCGTTTGCATCCCTAGTAAAAACCCTATTTAATGGCCCAAACTATTTATTCTGATGAACCCTGGTCACTTGGCGTCCCTACAAAATAAAAAGACATAGATCAAATACACAAAGCCTCTCTACGGTAAGGTTAGTGGACCTTATGTGTAATGTGTAATATCTAAGAAAGTCATAAGTTAATAGGATCTTTGACTCGTTGAAGTGAAGTCTCAATGCTACAAATAAGAAGGCATAGATCAAATACACAAAATGCTTTCCACATAGTGGACCTTATTTGTAATATGTAATATCTAAAAAAGTCTCAAGTTGATAGGATCTGTGACTTGTTGGGGTGAAGACTTGGAATCAAATCCCATTGCCACTAAGATTGGGGGGGTTAAGGGGAGGGCTAGAGGGGGATGGGTTACCCCTGTTGTGCAGTCCATGAAGAAAAAAAGGGTAAATTATAAAACTCCCCTGTATTATGGGGTCAATGACAAAGACCCCCTTGTACTTCAATTTGTGACAAAGGCCCCCTGAACTTTTACATTGTGAAAAATATCCTCTCAGCCGTTAAGTCAGATGACAAAATGCGTTAAATTACCAAAATACCCCATCAAACTTTCTCTATTTTCTTTTTTTGCCATTTTTTTAAACCTAATTGACCCAAATGGAGATATGTTGCTTCAATAAAGTGACCGAGAAAACAACATACTCAATTTTCTGGCTTCATGTTGTTGGTCTCTTCTCTCTATTTTTGTAAATAAATCTTCTCTATTGGAGAAGACAATGAACAATACAAAGTGTAAAAAACAAAGTAATATACTTTCATAAATTAAAGACAAGGATAAAATAAATTAGAAAATGGTAGTTTGGGAATTTAGAAAACTTTGAACAGTCGGATGAGAATATTTTTTTGATGTTAACTGATGGAGCACTAATTGAGGGGGTCTTTGTCTAACAGCTAAAGTTCAGGGGGTCTTTGTCGCAAATAAGGGGTCTTTGTCACTAACCCCATAGTAAAGGGGGGTCTTTGTAATTTACCCTAAGAAAAAACATACTTATCACCACAAATGTTTTCTACTATGTAATAGACTAAAACAGTTGGAGCTGTTGACTTGTCATATAGAAACAAAATAGTTGTGCAATTTGGGCAGCTCCGAGTGGAGAGAATTATTAAAATCAATGTTTTCAACTTGTTGATCTGGCTGGAAGGTTTAGTTTTCTTAAAGCCTGGCTTTTAACAAAAAGTCAAAAACTATTGACTTGGTAAAAATTTGTATGATTTGAGTGGTTGAACCATTATTCTGTTTGATTCAGTCGTTGGATCATGCATACTAAAACTTTTGGAGACCATAACTTTGTACTCGGTTATCTGATTGAGGTGATTTTTACATCGATTGATAACTTTTTAAGATTTATGCATCACAGGGGGCAAAGGCACTTTGTCCCACTTTTTTGTAAAGAAATAAAAAATATAAATTGAACATAAAACAATACATATATACATATATAATGTATTACATGCAGAATATATATATATACCTTGCCTTGGTTTTGTGCATATCTTAAAAGTTATATTTGATTATAAATGTCAACTTATATCTTTACCCTTCTCTCAAAACGTAGATGTAAATCTTTACCTTATAGTTGCACACATATATAGCACGTGTCCCTTACATTAGATTCTACTTAGGGTTGTTGAGCTAGAGCTATTTCGATTAGCAGTAGCCTCCGCCTTTACTAAGGGTTGTTGGGCTGTTTTGGTTGTTTTAGTTATTTGGTATTTCTTGATTTTTTTTGTTTTTTCTTTTGCTGTTGTTTGTGCTCTTTTGTTTCTCTTTCCTCCTTGAAGTTGTTATCTCTTTTATTTTTTAATGAATAATTTCTCTATAGAAATATAAAGGGTATATATAAAACGAGTCTGATAACCGAGATTGCAACCATACATGGA